CAACTTGTGTGCCGATAGAACTCCTGAAAACAGATCGAAACATGATCTATGCACGGAAATCGTGATTCCTGACTGTGATGTTATGTTTTGGTTCAGGATTAATCCCAGAAAGAAGGACACAGCACATAGTTCAACAAGCACACGTAGAACGTATTTATGCAAGTGAACGACATAAAAGAGTTCACGAGCTCAGTTAAAAAGCCCATATTTCCTCGGTGACGCGCCAGAGTCAAAAGATGCTCATACAGCTCAGAGTTGACGACAAAGTAGCCGATGATGTCACCGAGTCGAAGTCGTCGAATGTTTGATGGCGTAGCTCGGTGAGTGGCGTGGTCGCTTAGAGGTGCGGCAGTTGATCCCGGAGTTCCGGCCCATAGATGGGAACTTCTCCGCGAAGACCTACTCGGCCCCACATGATTGCGGCCAAACCCTCAGTGTGACCATCGGTACAAAACGGCAAGGCTTGACCCGGCCTCGTGCCTGGTCTCTGGCCCGATCTGCCTCTCGTGGTGAAACAGGCAGGAGTGCTTCGATTACGCCAAGACACCAGTAAGTAGGCCTACTGGTTCTCCTATCAGCCGGACGCCTAGCAAATGAGACAGTTCTTGAACCTTCCCATGCCCGCGCACAGCTCTCGCACTGCCACCCTTTCTCGAACCACACACGCACCAGATCGCCGTCCTCTTCGCGACCGCACGGCACATACACGATTCGCGCCCGCACGGCGTACATATTCAAAGAGTAGCAGGTAACCACCGAGTCGCCACCACAAGTCCCACTGTGTTGTTCGGGCATAATCGAACCCGCGCACGCACACATCTTCACACTGACAATGACATTGGTTTTTACGTGTTTAACGGGCCAAGATTCCAGAATGTCACCAGAGGACGAGACTAGAAGACGTTTGCTAGTGATTCCATAGATACCTGGCGCTAAATAAACCTTTCCTTCAGTTATTTATTTATTTTTTATTTACTCATACTGTTGGCCTGTCGGCCGTTACAGGGTGGGTCAAAGCGGGACATTTGAATGGTCAACATCGTGTGACTTGAGAAGAGAAAAAATAACAATCCATATTACATGAAAAAACACAAGCATCCATAAAAAAGAAAGAAACGATACTACATAAGAAACCGTACATAAGATACCACACACAAGAAAACATAAGCCTACATAAGCGAAATAGTTCCTGTATACATGATCAAACTATACGACATCATAAATGCACAGTTAACAAGCGATGTTAGAAAATATAACCGACCATTACCGTACAAAAACACACAGCAGTACATGCGAATTATTTTATACATACACCGATCAAACAATACAAAGCTAACAACACAATGCAACAACTGAACTTAGACAACCACTAAATAGATAGCATGCGTAAAGGCGTGCGTCTTTAATGACCTACTAGCTTATTTTCAAACTGTTCTACACTACTACTTACTCGCGTTTGTAGTGGCAATTGATTCCATTCTTTAATGGTTATCGGGAAGAAAGAAAAACGCGTAATTGTTAATGTGCATCTGAGGTATTTCGAAAGTACCATCTTTGATTCTTCGCAATGCTCTACCTTGTCGTGCTATCAAGTACTGACTGCTATTGATGTTGAATTGTTTTGAGAGAGAAGGTAAAAAAACTTTAGTCTTGCTATGCGCCTGCGATCAGCAAGCGTGGGCAAGTTTAGCAAAGCGAGCATTTCGGTGACGGAATCTGCACAAGAGTATCGCGCTAGAATGAACCTTGCTGCTCGTCGTTGAACTTTTTCCAGTCTGTGAATTAACCCTGGCTGATGAGGGTCCCAGATTATACTGGCATACTCTAGCTTGGGCGGAATCTAGGTCAAATAAGCTGTTAGTTTTACTGACTGTGAGGCTAGTTGCAGTTTACGTCGCAAGAACCAGAGCTTCTTTTCCGCAGTTTTGCATATTTTGCCAACATGATGAGACCATCTTAAATTCGTGGATATATTTACGCCAGAGTGTTTCAGCACGTCAACCGTAGAAAGCACCAAAGAATTCACTGTGTAATTAAAGTAGAAGATGTTATTTACTTTACTAGTTACGCGCAATAAAACAGTTTTATTCTCATTTATTTTCATTTTCCATTTGTCGCAACCTTCTTCTACTGTCCTAAGAGCGTCACTCAGTAACTCCTGATCAATCGGGCTATCGATTACTTTGTACAATAGACAATCATCAGCGAAAAGCCGGACAGTGATCCTTTCGTCAATTTCAGAGGTGATATCATTAATCTAGTCTAGATATAGCACTGGGCCTAACGCAGATCTCTGGGGAACACCTGACGTCACGTTCAACGATTTTGATTTAATGTGTTCAACTTCTACGTACTTCGTTCTGCCCGGAAGGTACGTGGTTATCCATTTTACTATTTGATCGTTTATTCCCATTACTGCCAGTTTCAGAAGCAGTTCTGACTGTAGCACTCTGTCGAATGCGTCGACAGATCAAGACAGATGGCATCTATCTGTTTCTTTTTGTTTAACGTCGTGGCAAAGTCATTAATTGTTTCAAGAAGCTGTGTTGCTGTGGAAAGGCGCTGTCGGAATCCATGTTGGTTGGAAAAAACTGTTGTCATTTTCAATATACGTGTAAATTGACTTGGCTACAGTGTGTTCTAGGAGCTTACAGCAAACGCAGGTCAGCGATATTGGACGATAGTTTTCGATGAATTGCTTACCACCAGATTTGTGCTCAGGTATAACCTTTGCCGTAAGCCAACCATCAGGGATTTGGCAATCTTCGAGTGATGTTTCAAATACAATCTTAAAGTAATGAGCAACCCATTCCGCATACCTGTGCAGAAACGCATTCGGTATTTCATCGGAGCCTACTGACATTTTTACCTCAATATTCAGTAGTTGGACCACAATTCCCTCATAAGAGACTTCAACATGTGGCATTTTTTTCCGAGCAAAGCAATGGAGAGGGAGGGGATTCGACACTGGATTGTGATGGAGTAGAAAACACCGACTGAAAGAATTCATTGTAAGAAGAAGCGATTACGGCTGGATCAGTAACCAGTGTGTTATCCACTACAGTGCTAAGTGACTCGTCATCTTTTTTTGACATGTGACACCAAAATTTATCAGGAGACTTTGTCATTAACTCTGTCAGTATTTTTTGTAATATCTATTTTCGGCGTCTGTAATCAAGGAACGCAGTTGTGCAGACAATCCAGTTATTTTTGCGCGGTCTTTTGTTACTTTGCGTCTCTGCCGGCTTATTCTACGCTTCAGTTGGATTATTTCTCTGCTTATCCAAGGGTTCCGCTTAGCTTTCCTTCTTTTCTTAAACGGTACGAAATTTTAGATACAATCGAAGATAATATCCTTGAGAGATTTCCACATGGCATTGACGTCACTTTGAGAATCAAAACTGTCCAGTGCAAATGACAAGTAGTCAATGATACTTGTGTCATCAGCCTCAAAAAAGTTGGGAACATTCGTAATCGCTTCTTTATGTTTTGAGATTCTTTCATAATGTGTTATTTCGACAAAGACAGCTTCATGGTCTGAGGTACCCTTATCAACTGATACTTTGAACTGCCCAAAGCGCCCGTCAAGGAATACCAAATCCAAAATAAAAGGACATTCCCCCGATTTTCACGTACTTTGGCGAACAACTAGTGAAAGGTCATAGGTGAATGCAATGTCTAGGAGTAAATCGCAGTGTGCCTGTTCCCGACACTCTGCTGTGAAAGTGTCCCAGTTAATTGCAGGTAAATTGAAGTCGCCGGTTAGGAGCAGCCGGCAGCTGCATTTTTGTTTGATTCTATGTAACTCTGTATCGACTCTAAGAATGAGAGAGGTGAGTTTGGCGGTCGGTAAACGGCACCGAGAAGGACTAGTGACGTTCCAATATGCATTTCACACTAGACACTTTCGTGCCCTGCAATACCACCTAGTGTTATGAATTCAAAATCTTCCTTCATATTATTGCAACGCCGCCTCCTTAAGACGGACGATCCCGACGCACTATCTTGTATCTTGGAGGTATGATCTCATTATCTTGAATATCTGAACGTAACCACGTCTCCGTGATTTCAACTACATGAGGATCATAATTGACTAAAATGTATTCTAAGTCTGCCGTCTTCTTGACAATACTTCTAGCATTAAAGTTGACTATCCGGATTTCCTGTTGCTCTCTCCATTCCGTTCAATCCTGGCTTGTCGCTGACAGCACGTTATTATTACGCCTGATTTTGACTCGACGATTCTTTTCGTCGTCTCAATTGAACATATCAGCATCAATGAACAGTTTATCATAATCAAGACGTACACGCTGTCCTCGTTTTCGTTCATCCTGCACAGAATTCCAGACAAGCTTGCGTTTGGCAACTGTTTCCCTGCTGTAGTCATCAGCAATAGATATACCAGTTCCCTTCAGTTTCTTACAGTTTTTATATACTTTTGATTTTTCTCTGGAATCGTAAAGTTTCAGAATAACAGGACGCGGCTTGGTCTGCCGCCTCCCGATCCTGTGTATTCGTTCAACTGCGTGCAGGGATACGTTCAGCTGTTTATCAAATAAATCGCTAAGCACCTTTGTATTTAGTTCCTCCGTTGTTTCTTTTTCGCCCTCCAGAATACCCAAAATTATAAGGTTATTTCGTCGGCTTCTGTCTTCAAGTGAAACAAGCCTATTGTGCAGCGTTTTACAGTCGCGTTCAGGGTTTTGTTTGTGTTATTCAACTCGGCTATCAATTTGCCTTGGTCCTTGACAACCTGTACCACTTTCTAAAGTTGTTTTATTCTTTCGCCCAACGCGGCTAAATCAGTTCTGATGGTCTGTTGCCCTTCAAGCAGTTCTTTCAAGAGCGCTGTCATGTTAGGACCTGGTTTCGTTTCGATGTTACCAGATAGCAAAAAGCGTACACAAAAAAGCGAATGACAAATAAAGCACTTTCGGGCACGGCAGCACTACAATGAAGCGATTATCGTTCTTGTAACCATAGAGCGAATAGAAACCAACCTGTTCAAGGAACAGGAGACGAGTTACAGGTGACATGGCTTCTGCGGTGTCACCGTGCCCACTGATGCAGGCTGGTGAGTCCGCTGCCTTTATAGGACTGAACGACGTTCCCGTCATCCTTCCGTAGTATCTGACGGAGATGCCGTCACTGACAGGCACTTCCCAGTCGAGGATGGTCCTATCAGAAGCCGGTCCGGCGATACACGTGTTGGATACGTTAATCGGGATGCGCAGATCAACAGCACCTGCTCAAGGAACAGAAGACGAGTTACAGGTGACATGGCTTCTGAGGTGCCACCATGCCCACTGATGCAGGCTGGTGAGTCCGCTGCCTTTATAGGTCTCGACACGTTCCCGTCATCCTTCCGTAGTCTCTGGCGGCGATGCCGTCGCTGACAGGCACTTCCCAGTCAAGGATGGTTCTATCAGGATCCGGTCCGGCGATACACGTGTTGGATACGTTATGGTGGGATGCGCAGATCAACAGCACCTGTTCAAGGAACAAGACGAGTTGCAGGTGACATGGCTTCTGCGGTGCCACCCAGTTAGTGAACGTTGACTGAAGTTCCAACCTCTCTGGCTAGAAACGTTTGCCTGGCCGATGTATTTAAAATATCATGAGCGAGCTCTCTGCAAGACATGCGTGCTTTCCAAAAATTTTCCGACCCCTTCAGTACGGCGTCTCTCATAATCAAATGGTGGTTTTGGGACGTTCAACCTCACACATCGAATCAATCAATAAATCTGGTTTATGACCATCATCTTTTCATTTATCTGTTTAAGTTGCATGATGAGTATGTTAGTAGACCTTTCTAAGGTTACGATTGGTCCTGCAAGTTTTCCTGTGTTGCACCTTCGTCAATAGACACTTCGGAGTTCTTTTAGCCGTTAGCGAATAATATAGATATCTATCAATTCATTGTACACTCACATACAAGAGAAGTTCAGTGAATAAGCCATATAATCTGTCACGCGCTCGCACGCGCGTATAAGTACACTCTAAGCCAAAAGAGAGTAATGGGAGTATAGGGTTTGCTTTTTTTTCAGGAAGCAATCACCTTGCCACTCCCATTACTTCCCAAAAGAAGTAACCGTAGGAAGACAAACCGTTGCTCTTCTTTCAGTTCCTCCTTCTGGGGACGAACAGTTGATCCCTCTAGTTGCTCCCGGAAAACCGACCGTTACTCCCGAAGACCAACCTTGCTCACCGAAGACCAATGATTAGTCTTGACCATTACTTTCACGTTTTCGTAGTTACTCTCCGAGGAGCACCTGCTCAGGTAATCCTGGTGAAAATGAATCTCTATTCTTGTCAGACGCTGAACACATGGCTACAGCTTAATGGCAGATCACTACTTGTGCGCTTGGAACAAAAAAGTGGAAACACTTTAAAGGAACGAACTGCTTTATTATTTTTCTTTCGTTATTTTGCTGATGGCGACGTGTAAGCACGTGCAGCAGAGTTCACCACACCACTGCCAACACAGACTGAACGGCATAATACATAAACAATTTTTGGCGTCTTTCCTGGAAAATGAATGTAGAGTTCCCAGCACAGGGCAGTGTGTGGGATCATGACAGAAACACGGGCAACTTTTCCAATTGTGAAGGACTCGAGCTGCGCAGGACTGTTGTTTCCATAAAACTAGCTCAGTGAAATTCCACCGCCGGCATATGCGAGGCATCATATTGCGGCAGGAAAAAAATAACAGAGTGAGGTTTGGTTTTACAAGCCAGGATGAATACATAATAATCAATCACACACACACCGAAGCAGCGTTTGCAGTCTACGAAGTCTACTGTAAAGTGAAATGCGAAATCAAATCATGGGTTTTGTCAAACGTTATTTGGCAAGTCATAATAAGGTTGATGTAATGGAAACTCTTCACATGTTTTCACATCCAGCCGTTAGTGTTACTATGATGTCAATGAGAGACAAGTACCAGTATCAAGGCAGTAGCGACCGCCCAACGTTATTTTTGCGGAATAGGTATTATCGCGGAAAAGATCGTTTAGGAGCAAAAGTACCTGGCGCTGCATTGATGACGAGCAGCAGGAGGGGATGCAGGCGGTAACAATCGCAGCAATTTGGTCCAATAGAGTTGCAAAAGATACAGTGAAAAAGCAAGAACATTTCATTTTTCTTTTGATATTGCAACAGCAGTCAACAATGTCTTTGGAGAAAAAAACAGTCAGCCAGCTGCTGAAGAACTCAACTCATTGCACATGTCATGAACAAGCACAATTGAAAAAACCACCAGCAATGCTAGACTGCAACCTATACTACACAATGTAAAAGCAATAAATGTAGTTGAAAATTCAACGCAGCTCTTCACCACTCACCTGCAAGCTGATACATGCGCATGTGATTTGTCCGACTAGCCGAGTCTTGCAGGCAGCTGAAGACGTGTTTAAGTCGTGTTTGTTCCATCCAGCAGCGAAATCCACAACAACGTAGTGCTGTCGAAAGATCAGCATACACTAAACTTCATTACGAAGAAGTAGAAAGCCAAACCGGAGAAACACACGCAGGAGAAAAACATGGCACACCGCCTTGTCTGTCCATGTGCTCGCCGACCATAAACCGTATGAATATGAGTAGTGCGAACGTGAACTGAGTTGCGCTGAAAAAAAAAAAAAAAAACGTCAGGGTGTGGCAGCACGGGAGTCATCGCAATGCTTTTAGTGTGCTCTCTTACTAGAGTCATTAGAACAATTATTTATACTACAAATAATATTTATTGTAGGTCAAATTGTAGGTAAAATTTGCGTATTTGAGTAGTACGCAGGTAATAATAAATATAGGTATCTTTGTATGGACTACAGCACCTGCTATGCTAGCGCCACACTTGTCGTGCGCAAGCAGGTCAGTCATGTTACACTCACACTTCATGAAGTGTACTTGTTTTTGTTCTTGTTGACCGTCATTTCTGGCACATACCCAATGAGGGGGGGGGGGGGGGCGGGTTGGTAAATAATTGAGTCGTCTTATGAAATAGTGTACGATTGTAGAGTAAAGAACCTTACAAAATAAAAAAATATAAAGTTTAGGAAAAACATTTGATGATAACTGAGCTGTACCTACTAAAGTTTTTTGTATTAGTAGTAGATAATAATTGAAACCTAACTTGAAAAAAGAAGTTATGCGTAAGTAGACATGGAAGAATAGTAAGATTAGTTTGTTTGTCTTTTGGTTTTAGTTAGGTAATTCTGCACGGCCTCGCAAACCTTCTCACTGGCAAACCTAAAAATAGAGGCTCTAAAGAACATGGATAATTTCATTTCACTAGCACGTGAATGACTTCCTAACTTGGATCTACGAGCTGTTGTAAGCCGCCTACATGTCAAAAAGTAATGATCCATAGTTTCTGGCTCGCCACATTGGAGAAAGAGCCCGACCAGACCTGCGTTGGTAGAAATGTTGTATTGGCACCTTACAGCGCAGCCTCGTAATTACGACTTCTAGTTTATGTATGTCACGAAAGGATCGGTATTCTGTGAAGTTTGTGAGTGATGTATCTGCGAAGCTTGCCGTAATGGTACGCCTGCGAAATGGCACAGCCGTTACATAAGAGGATGGTGGAAAACATGCTTAAATTTGTTCAGTTATTGATGACTTCACTAAAGAATCAGCCCTTTCGTTTAGGAACAGCCCTTCATGAACCGGCACCCAAACTTATCTAACTTTTCTCCAATGTGGGGGTAATAATGCATGAAACACCTCTATTATGTGCAATTCAGCATTAACAAGAAGTGCAGTGCAAGGAGACAGAGAATCTGTAACTATAAGAGCCGATGAAATTTCCACGTTTGACTATCTTAAGATGAGTACCAATGCCAGAAACCTACTAGTAAGTTCTGCGGCTGAAGTCATTGGATAGGGCTTGTTTTTTTTCTCCGTTCTTTAAAGCCTCTGGCACCTGTTCTTGGCGGGTGCAGAGGAAAAGGGTCAATCGGCTTTGGCACCCTCCCCTATAGAGACGAAGAGCGCGTCTGGTTTTCTTTTTTTTTTCTCTCCGAAATCCTCGTTTCGCACGTGTTTCAGCGTTTGATTAGCTTTGACTTTTCGTTACCGAATTTATGGTGCTCCAGTGCGTGTTATACGCGTTGCAGGCAGCTGTATTCGCAGGCCTTCTGTCGTCAGCCAGCGCTGCTTCTTTTGTCTGCGGATGCTAATATTGCATTCATTTCGTGCAGTTTGGCACATAGCAAAAAGTCGGCCCCCCGAATATCAATGTGGGCGCATATATATTTTTCTGCGGTGCCCTAGAGGGGAGTGACAGTTGCGTGATGAGACCTATTACATCCGTTCTTCCCCCATTGCTCCCTCATGAACTAAACACTAATACTATGGCTCCGCCAATTTTGGACATGTCGGTCATCTTGCACCACTTGGTCTTTCTGGGGAATAACAGTTTGTCTCAAAGACTGAAATCACCCGTTTCTCCAATTTTCGTCATTTTTGGCTTAGAGTGTATGTTTGTTTAGATGTTAGCAGAACGTGCGAAGGTTCAAAAGAAATGTTATTCTCTGGCTTGAGTATATCTCAGCACAAGTTTAAAGAGTCACACTGTATCATGCTTGAACGTGGTTTATCAGACCTTTGAGCTATGTCTGGATTTTACCATTAAAACAAATCTCTGCTTAGCGAATATTATGGTGGAGATTGACTCCGGCGAGATCTGGTCCTGCGAGTACACGTATAACTAGTGCTGCAGCGTTAATCCCGTCGACGAGCCAGCTTAGAACGCTTGCGGCCGAGATCCCAGCCCAAAACTTCACAAAGTACCGAAGCATTGACAGTCACCACGACACGTTTTCCCATGCGCAGGTATTATTTACTGCAAAACTGCCCCAGGTATGATATTGTGATAGTAGCACCACCAAGTTTCAAAATCATGTCAGTACGAAGCGATGAAAAAAAAATGCCATGCCTGCGCGGAAGGCACAGCACCGTCACAGGGAAAGCTAGAAGAGCGGCCTTTCAGAGCCTTTCTATACACTCATCGGATAACTGCTTCAAGCACACTTGCTTGATACACACTAAGGCATTAATAATACACCTTTGGGTAGTAGGCCGGCATTCGCTAGGCAATTTCGCGTCAGAGTTATTCAATCATACCAGTTGCGAAACTCACCATAGGCTCCATGTATCGTAATCCGAACACAACACTGGCTGAAATGGCGGTAGTGAGTAGGTAGTGGTGCCATCTCTTGACAACAAAAATAACTATAAAACGCAATA